CGGGAACTGCTCTGTCTCAGACCGGAAGATGTTGCAGAAGTTGATGAAAACCACCCAGTGTATCACTGGAGCCTCACTTCCTGCTATCAAGTACATCTACATGAAGTGTTCTCAGGAGACCAATAAACATTGGACAACTGTACATTTGTACCGCACATTCTGTATATATTGTAAATCATTCCGTTGCACTACTGTACATATTGTGTAATCCCCACAATAATCACATTTGCACTACTGGACACACTGTATAGTTATTCATACTGTACTGCCATAGTCATAACTTGTTGATAGCCTGTACCTACCTGTATCAATTGACATTCATGTAGACATATATTTGTATTTATATATCATTAATGCATTGCACTTTATATAATAATGTATCATATTCTATTTATTTACTGCTTAAGCACTTCAGGTTAGATGCTATCTGCATTTCATTACATTGTACCAGTGACATGTACAATGACAATAAAGTTGAATCTAATCTAAACTAATCTAATCTAATCTAATCTAATCATGTGACTGTTTAAATGCATATATACATGCATATACATGCACAGATATAGTTGGAGAGATATATCTTAAAGCCTTTTCTAATTCTATTTATGGTATCTAGTAGTTTAGTAGCTTGTAATTTGTAAATTTGTTCATTGTATTTTTTGACCTACCCCATGCTTGTTTTGTGTAACTTGTGCATGTAACTGTAATTTTATTTTATGTAAACAGCTGATACTGCAACACTGCAATTTCCCTTTGGGGATGATTAATGTACCTGTCTATATAATGAACTTTATATTTTACCACTAACTTATTTTTTTACTTGGATTTATTATTGTACATTTCTATTTCTTACTAAACAGATTCCTTTATTTGAAATGGAACTTTTCCCCCACTTCTTCTAGAAATGGTTTCTGTCTTCACCAGATTTGGCACAGAAGACAGAGCATTGAAAATGTGAGTCATGTTGTTTTTTATATTCTATGGTGTTTTCCTGTTTATGGATGCCAAATAGTTTATTTGACAAAACAGACACATGTCTTGAATATATTTTGCAAATGCAGCTAAACTTATGGGCACGTGGATACATCAACGTTATGCAAAATTTGCATTTTCCTTGTACGTGGCACCACAGCAATATAATACATTTAAATTGTCATTGCCCGGTGGTCATGAGTTTGACTCACTTAACATTCTTAAAGATTTTTCCTTATATAGATTCTTAATATTTGCTAACAGGATTTACAAGGTTGTTTAGTTAGTAATTATACAATACAAAGAAACTAAAGTTTGTAGTCTCTTAATGCTACACACAGAGAACTTAACTGATCATTAAATGTGTATTAAAATATGGTAACATTTAAATAAATAAAATAAAACAATAGGCTGTATTCAGTTATTCATATACAAAAGATTACATCAAGCATTCAGCCAAGCATGTCTGTCTGAAGCAGTTCTGGATTCAAATGCTGACTAAAAATATCAAAACATAGCAAATAATTACAATTAAAAACAGAATGAGAGGCTTGTGCAAGGCTTTCTGTTCTCAGGGTGCTTTTTAAAAAACAAACTGATAGTCGATTTCTGAGAGGTAGATTTCTAATTTCCTGTAGGATCTTGTTTTAATAAAGGGCCACATAAATAAACCTCGCTTTACTGTTAATAACTGACTAATACTTTGCTGAATTATCACATCTTTTTTTTTTTTATTGTGATTAGCATGAGGTTATTAAGATTCATTGTGAGACTGTGAGTCAGCTGCTGGTCTCTGCAGCCTCCCACACAGCCTCCAGGCCCTCAACCCTCCTGCTCCCTCAGATCAGCACTGAAAAGAAAGTCATTACCACCATCTGAAAGGCATCTGTCCAAACTGTGGCTTTCAGGTCTCTGCATCCACACAGACACACACACACACACACACACACACAACATTATACAGTAGAGGATCAACAAGCACACCCCTCCCAACTCCACAAAATTATTGTTGTTGTTACATCTGTTACATCTGCTTTCAGGCATCTTTGCCCTGCAGTACCCCATTTGCTTTGGCACGCTGGTCAGTTTACTCTATCACTGTTTATGTTGAGAGACACTGTATTTATTCAGGTGCGTCACTTATGAAGAAACAGAGAAAGCCTGCAAGCTGGGAAGCCTCAAGCTGTATTTGCTTGTATCCTTCATTCAACAGTGTGTTCAGCAGTACAACGGTGATTTTCAGACAAACAACTCTTTTTTTATGAAAGCTCCACTCTGAAAAAAAACTGAAGTAAAATACAAAACATGTGCATTTACAAGGATTCCCACACTCTAAAGTACAATTGGAAAAATATTTCCTCACTGAAATGTTATGACTGCACTATTGTGGTGCAGCAGGGACACAACTTCTACAGCTCATCTACTACTGTTGGGTGTTGACCTTTTTATATACAGTCTATGGTGTTGGCTCAGTCTTTAAAAATAAATGCAATAGAAGGTGCAAACTGTGTCTATGTCAAATATAAAGTCTAAAATATTCAGAAGAGAAGCTTCAGTTCTGGTAATTAAAAAAAAAAAAGCTGCAATAATCCATATTTCATATTTACAATAGATCAAATACTGTGTGTAATGTGAAAAGGATTGTTTATAGTGACAAACCCACAGATAATTATTATCTGACTCTGCGGATCGCCAGAGCTCTGCAGAGCATTTTAACATCTCCCAGCTCGCTGTTGTGGTTCAGTCTTGCTGCTCTCATCAGCATCATTTCCAGCAGCAGCTGGTTTCAGTGAGAAAGCTATTAAAGCCCACAGGTATTATTTCCCTCAGGAGTTGGTGGAGAGCAGAAACAGACCTTAAAGGAGAGTGAATAATGGATTTACTTTCTCCAGGTGGTCCAATACATGTCTTCAAATGAATGGTAATGTTGCTCCACATCTGCAAGATCTGTAATTAAGCAACTGTTTGTACAGGCTTTCCATAGAACCTTTATGTGTCAGTGTTTTGTTTACAGCTGCTATCGCTGCCCAGAAGTGGCAAAAAAAAAAAAAATATTGCTTTAAATATAACCCAGAGTGTACAAAGGACTTGGATGGTATTCACGTAGCCAAATTACAATCAGTAATTGATTTCTTAAAATATTTACTCAAAATCAAAAGGAGCTAAACCTGGATGGAAGTTGTCATATCTGTCATAAGCCGTTTTCATGGCAGACATTTTTGACACAGTGTAATTAATTAATAATATTACATTTTCATTTATATATTGCCCATTCATAAGAGAAGTTATCTCATTGCACTTTTCACATAGAGCAAAGGAAAATGGAATAAATAATAAATGGAATCGAATGTAAACAGTAACACCTGTGCTGTGAAAAGTCAAAATGTCTGGACTCTTGAAAAGGCCCATTTCCTCTTTGTCCAGCAGTTGTCCTTACTGTGTTCCCACCTTTCCACATCATCTGATCTCACCTGAACTCCTGCTCCCAATTCCCTCATCTGCTCACAGTATATGGCAATATCCGCCTTTAGTCCTTGTTTCCTGACAGATTGTCTGTTGTGCCTCCTAGTCATTGTGTTCCAACTTTGTTGTCTTATATCTGCCTTCCTGTTTTTCAAGTCTTTGATCCCAGCAAGATTTTTGGACTTTAAACTTCCTGCACAATCTATTGGTTTGGTTTGTTGCTGACTGCCCCCTTTTTGCCTCCTATCCTGCTTATTGACAAAGTAAAACCTGCTTTTATCCTACTGCTGCTGTTTGTGGAGTCTGTGTGTGGCTCTCAATCCAGAATTGTTAAAGGGAAGAAACAGCATCTCCAATACGTGGAACACATACGGTATGATCACACACTATATTTTCATATACCATTCTCAAAACGTGTGTTTCTTTATACCATCTATTCCATGTTCCCCCCGCTGCTCCAAATACAATATGAATATGAATGATCAAATAGAAGAAAACTGGCAATTTCCAGCCCCATGTTTACAGCTTGCCATATGTTTCCAGTTTATATGAGTTTTGCAGACATGCTTAGAGCCATATCTGAGACCACCCTGTGATGATGTAATTACCCAAGACAGGATGTGTCGCCCAGGGGACTCTCCCTCTGAGTGGTAATGTAATCACCTGACTGAAGTCATCAGAGTGAACTCTTACTATACTCTCACTAATCCAACAGAAAAGCATCAACTAAGAGCTGCATTCTGTTACAATTCACCTAACTTATTGTTAAGATACACATTAGGAAATCCAGTCCTTCTTTTTCTGTGTACAACAAAGCAACAACATTTGTTGTTTTATTGATCGGATATTTTGTTTTGGACTTGACTGCTGTGTGTAATAGACTGGATTGTATTACTGGTAATAATTATTGCTCCTATGTATTGAAAGAAAGTTGTGTTCTTTAAAAAAAAAAATGACAACATTTTTAAAAACTTTAAAGGAAATGTTTAAATGCTATGTCAGAATTTGTTGACCTTGAAAAACTTGCATCTTGAATGCAATTTGTTTAAGCTCAGGCTATAGGCTAGTGTTGTGTTATAGTACAAGATATAAATCTGTCTTGTTTGTGTTTAATGGCTGACATATAGATTTAGCTTTTAAAGAAGCTCAGCTCAGGGAAGTTTTCTGGTAATAGAAACTGAAGTAAAAATAGAAAATGCCAGTTTATTGTATGCACAAAAGAGAACAAATGATAACAAACTAAAATTATAACAACTACAATAAGTTAATCCTGATTCTAATGCTGTGAAACACACAATGAAATTATTGTAATTGATTGATTGAAATTTTGCACTTCCAGAGCCAAACTTTTGAATGATGTATGATACATTCAAACAAATGTATGATCTGATTCACACTTAAAGCCTAGTCTACTACTCTGCTCAAATATAAATAATTTGGTGAAACTATATTGTGAACAGCCTCGTGACGTGCTGCACTGACACTAGTTGGAGTAACCAGGGGCCACCAGGGGCCCTCCTGTCTTTAACAGGCAGTCTGTGCCTTTTAGGTGAGGGGGAGACTGTGTAACATGAGTCGGGATGAAAACTGTGCGTTGGATCCGGCTGCCAGTGCAGATGCTGTTCGCCAAAGAGAGCGAGAGGAGGTGCATGATGGATCCCGTCCCACTGTTGCTCATCGTGGTCACATCTTTGCCATTTTGCCCGGCAGTCTTCACCGGGCCCCTCCAGCCGGAGATCTCCAATGGTACTTTCCATCACTTCTTTGTTCCAGACGGGGATTACGAAGAGACTGAAGACCCGGAGGACTGCCAGATGTTGTTTAAATTCTCAGATGTGTATCCATGCGGGGCCTCTGAAGAGAGGGACTCCGTGGTGCGGGACGACTTCATCATCACCAAGCTGCAGGCGGAGGACGCGGCGCGGCTGCTGGAGGGCATCGGCCGGACCGTGACGCACGACCTGGACGGGGAGGACAGCTACGGCAAGTTCCTCCAGCGGGAGATCTCCCAGATCGGAGAGGCTTTTTCAAACGTGGACAAGTCTCTGCTGGAGCTGGAGGTGAAGTTTAAACAAAGTCAAGAGACTGAGCTGAGAGAGGAGCAACAGCTGAACGGCTATGTTATGAAGCAAGTGAGTGACATCAGGGACGCTCTGAGGGGAACTACGGACATCTCGGTGGGACTTAAAGATAAACAAGAGCTGCTGTCTCTCATCATCCGCAGTCATGGCACCAGACTGAGCCGCCTGAAGACAGAGTATCTTCGTGTTGGCTCATAGTGGGATTATTGCAGTTTATAGTGTGTGTGTGTGTGTGTGTGTGTGTGTGTGTGAGTGAGAGAGAGAGAGAGAGAGAGAGACAGAGAGAGAGAGAGACAGAGAGTGAGAGGGGACCCTCCAGATCAACAAAGAACTGGAAAGTTCATTGTGGCTTATGAATATCCTTCTTTGGCATCTTGAATATGTCTGACCTTTGGTTATCCCTGCTCCTTGGAAATGTGCCATTAAGGGGAGCTCTAACATCAACACATTCCTCTGAGTCAGGAGGGAAAATGGAAATGTAAACATAAATTAGGTCTGCATGCCATGTGTCACCTCTGAGGAAGAGATTTATTCAGAGGAGAGTATGAAAATAAAAGCCCTTAAGTAGATTTGTCAGCCTAATTTCTAAAATAGCTGCATTTTTGTATTTATGGTATAATTACATTGTTTAAACAATTTTAGGTTATTAATGAACAAATAAATGCTTAATATTCATCACATATCTTAATTCCCCCTATAAGAGATGCCATATGTTTCAATGTCTTTAACAATAAAATCCATAATTTTCTTTTTTAATGTCATAAGTTTTCTTCCCTTACTAATTTGTCATGAGACATACAATGCCATACTATAAAAACATCCATCCTTTGAAGCTTGAGGTTTACATAAACAGTGAAAACCTCTGAAATCTGAACTTTTGATTTTCGGCAGCGGAAAGTGACCCTCCTTCCCTGTCATGTATTTACGTCACCACATTTGTTTTTGGCACTACATGTGGCAGATTTGCCTGACCCATCCAGTGGCCCTGGTTAATTGGCGTCTGATGTCTTTCACCGCCTCCCACTTCCATCTGGAAGTCATCTACTCAAGTATGAAATATGTTTGTCCAAGCCACTGTTGTCACTATCTACTTTTTGTGATCTATAACATTTGTGGTTAATATGAAATGTTTTGTGTTGAAATTCTGTGTTGTTCTGGATGATGTCATTTTAAAACAAATATACTTAAAAACGCTTGTTCAGATCTCTGAAAGAAATACATTTTTGCTCTTCTTCCGACACAGTGTTTATGTGAGGAAAATTGTTATGAATTCCTGAAGGCATAAACTCTACCCCACAGGGTCACACTCGCAAACAAATCTACTGTCAGGATGATTTTATTTGCAATTCCTTGAATTCAATCTTCTGAATGCCTTTGTTAGCAATATTTAACGACCATTAAAACGCTCTTGTTCCAGCCAACGTCTGCAACAACCACAAAGTAACTGCCATAAGCGTGCCCACTTTTTACAGAGATAATATCTCTGCAGATGTGAAGGAGCCAGATGGGCTGCTATGGGCGCAACTGGGTGTGATTTCCTCTGTCTGGTTTTCCTCACAGTCCAGCTTCCCCAGTGGGACCCCTTTTTAAAAACAGCTCTCTGTGGCTCAGCACAGTCCCAGCCTACCCCGTCAAAAACCCAGAGCTGAAGGAGCTCCATGTGTAGAGAAACCCTATATGTCTGTATGGCTCTTAATTTCTAGGGGCACTGCACAGGGCGCCCAAGATTTGATTAAAAGATGTGGTTAAATTTCCACTGTGTAAGGAAAGGTAAAGTGGTTCACAAAAGCTCACATAAGCAAAGCCCCCATCTTACTTAATTTGTCTTTTTTGGCTCAAATCGTTAATTCCACCTATAGAAAAATATTATTTCTGTGGACTGGTTTCAGGTCCCTGATGCTTAGAAGAAGGCAAGTCAGAGTGTCGAGCAGACTCTTAGAAGAAGGTATTCTCCTCACTGACATACAAACAAAGAAAGGTCAGGAATGCAGACCAGAGTTGACCTGAGAACAAACTGAACTCTCTCTATTCAAAGTGCAAAGCCCCCAAACCACATGCCTCTGAGGCGTTATTATTAGAAACATAAGACTTATCTGAATACAGTACAACTGATACTAGTCCTACTATTATTATCACTGCAGTGAATACTCCTGTATATTGCAACCACTACTAGCTAATAGCATTACCATCCTTCAGCTACATCTGCCATGTTTTTGCTCACACTTTATGGAGAATAGAAAGATATGACAAAATAATTTTAACATACTGACTAGCTTTTTCAGGAGAGGTTTTTAACCACATCTCATGGTCCTCAACAGTGGGTCAACACATGGCATAGCTTTCAAATGCGTCTCAGTGGACCAATGACAACTGAGAAAACTCCCATTGATCAAAAGTCCGTTCTCCAATGAAGACCATGAGATGTGGTTGTAAGCTAGCAAGTGGACCTTGAGTTAAGATTATTTTGTGGCCAAGGCCAAGAATTTACTTTCATGTTCAAGTGTAGTTTGAATTGACATCTTTAACAAATGTTACTTATGTAACAAAACAAGATACCCGCTACAGTCTAATATTTACTCAGACAGTGGTAGTACTCAGATCTTTAACTTAAAAAGGAGCAGCACAGTGTAGAAAACTCTATTACAAGTAAAAACCCTGCATTCAAAATATTACTTAGGTAAAAGTACAAAAGTATAGCATCAAAATATACTCTAAGTACCAAAAGTAATAGTACTCATAATGCATAATGGCCCATTCATTCATTTATTTAGCTGACGCTTTTATCAAAAGTAACTTACAATTACTATACATGTCAGAGGTCGCAGGCCTCTGGAGCAACTAGGACTTAACTGGCTTGCTCAGGACACATTCGCTATGTAAAGATTTAGTGGAGTAATGACATCCTGAGCAAAGAAAGCCGTCACGCTCCCTTTGAGTGTGTTGTCATCCGAGCTTCTCTGTTCTTTGTTTTAGCCGGTCTGGCACCATGTGCATGTGAGTACATGTGAGTCCCTCGCTGTGAAGCTGTTGGCTTTGAGGAGAGTGATAAATGGCTTTCTTTTCTCATCTAACGCGGTGAATAAAGGATTTATTTTGACCAAACCAAAGTTGGTGATCGTTGGAACAGTGGAAAGACTAACAGACTGTTTTGGCGAGTTTTATTTTTGTTTCTGTCCAGTTTGACACAATGAAGTGTGTTTAACGATGACTACGTGGTGAAATAACAGTTGGGGTTTTTTTGTCTGATGATGAGCAAGAGCGATATATAGGCTGTTTCTGGTTAATCATAAAGGGTCTCACTGTTTAACAAAAATGTATATCTCTATGGGGATCTTTCCCATAATGTTGTCATGTTGCACTTTTAGTGGACATACACTACTTGGACATGTCCCAAAGGATAACACTGCAGTCATTGCAACCCATTTTGTAGCTGCCGGCGGAGGAGTAGAGACAAAATTCTGTAAATTAAGGGTTTAGTTTATTTAGATTACATCAAAGTTGGTGATATTTAGACAAATAGAAAGAAAAACAAAGACAGGTTGGTTTATGTCTAGTTCTGCAATCTGCAAAGTAAAAATGGAGTCTGATCATCCCATTTGTTTTGTCTGAGATGCTGGTGCTCTGGTGCAACATTTAATGGCAATGAAAGTAGAAAAATAAAGTAGCATACAAATTGCTCATGTGAACTTTTTAGTGCACTATTAGGACTATCTGACAGCTGTGTTTCTACTGGCTTTGCAGAGTGAGTTTTTACATGCAAAAGATTGATTGAGCTTCTTAAATTGAATGCATTGCAAGACTTGAAACTAGCCAGGCCGTCTACTATATTAACTGACTCTTTAATGTGGGCACGTATAGGACATGTAGGACGTTCTCCTCATTAAACACATATGCAGCTTGTGTCATTGTAATGAGGGAGAGTTTACAACAACACACTGCAGAAGGAACCATCCTTCACAATGAGTACTGATATGTAAATACATTTTAATGCAAAAACATACTTTTGTTTATTGATAAAACTAAATAAATCTCATTTTAATGGATTATTTGGTGGTGGTATTGATGATTTACTTGAGTAAAGAATGACTTCTGGCCCCTCTGCAGTTTGTACAAGCCATTCATGAGCAGTAAGCAGTGAGCAGATAATTGCTGAATATGGTAAAAGATTATAATTGTTTAATACAGTTCATCTTTCAGCATGTCAGAAAGTGCTGTTTTTTTACGAGTTTATAATATACAGAACATATTTTTTTATATCTTGAACATTATAATTATTTATGAAGACACAGTCTCCAGTGGCCAACATGGTTTTAACCAACAACAGGGATTTCAAGGCTGCAGCTGCACATGACTCTATGAAAATAATAAATACAATTTGAGCAATATAATGGTAAAAAGGAGATGCTAAGGAGAAGAGAAACCTCAAGAAAAAAGATAGTGAAGCCATAATTTGAATGAGATGTCAGAAAGATTTAACTTCTCATAAAAGTTGTGCGAAAGCAATTACAGCTCACAGTGGCAGGTATGCATGTTGTCAATGGGGGAAAAAACTTTTAATAGTTATCAATCATAATACAAGTGTAAATTTGTGCTGTTTTCAGATTAAAGTATATTTAATCTGGATTTATTTATTTTTTATCGATCACTGGTGTTTATTAAAGGAAGTTTTATTTCACTATAATGCACAGCAGACGATTACTTTTTCTGTTTTATTTTATTTGGATAGTTTTATTTCTGTCTGTTTTTGGTCTCTGACTCAAGTTCTGGACACATGCGTCTGCACATTTAAATGTTCAGAAGTTGCTGAATAAAACAGACTTGCTTGCAGCACTAACAGCAATATAAACAGCTCCTGTTTTTAAAATAACGCTGTAAAGGTTTTGGCCTCTCTGCTTGCTGACATACCAGTGGAACTTGAGATGACCACAAAGACGTTTATATGATATTTGTTCAGTGTGTTACACAGGCAAAAAAAAAAAAGTTTTGCAAGGCTGTTTTATTTTTCAAAAATATTTGATGGGGTAAGACCTCAAGAACAACAAAACATTTCCCTCAAACACAGTTTGGTCTTAATGCTCATATTTTTCCTTGAATAAATACAAATGCATCCGCATACATACAATTCAAAATGTACATGTACATATCTTGTTTTGAATGAGTACATAATGATACACAGTTGCCCTTTGAAATGTGACAGTACACATCCATAGTTTGATCTTCAATACAGATGTCAAAGTTGTGCTATTGATCTTCTGCCAGTGTTTCTTTTTCTTCTTTTTTTTCCTCTCAAACTAGCAGATTTTACAGGAAGAAAATGTGAATATATACTATTCTCCTCTTGAAGAGCAGGCAATAACACTGAACAGTTCATTCATGAAGAGGGACAGTAAAAAAGCACCAGAGGAACTGAAATTGTCTTCAGTCAAATGTCACCTCTTTTTCATTTTCACGTGAGCGAGAGCCAGTCTCCTGTGCTTTCTCTGTGCCAAGCTGTGTGGAAGCTCTCTCTGCTCTGAGTCCCTGGGTAAAACTGTCTCTAGAACAGGGCTCCTCACTGTTTCCGGATGAGTCTGTTGGATGTGCAATGGCCTGTCACACGCAGCCATTCTCCTGTCTAGGCTTTTGCACCACAGGGGTGTGTGGTGGGTAGAGGGAAGGAGCGAGTGTACACAGGAAACCGGCCAGCAAAGTAAGGCCCAGTCCACCCCATGCACAGAACATGGACCAGCCATAACCATGACTGATGTCCTCTGGTATTCCAAACATGTAGCGAGGATAGCGGGACAGTTCAAAGTTGATCCCAGCCACACATGTGCAAAGGGAGATTATGCAGCATGTCCCTGCCAGAGAGGAAAAAGAAAATAAGTCCACTACTGCAATCCATTTACATCCCCTCTGATGCATCAGCTCACCACTCTCTTATTAACAAAGACCGTACTGCCCCTCTGTGGTGATTCAGGGTAGTGCTCTTTATGTCTAGTGCATCTTACCTCCCATGAGGAAGAGAAGTCCAGCGACATACTGCATCAGATCATGCTCCTTACAGCAGCCCAGCAGGCCTATAATCCAGCCGAACAGGATGATGGCTATGGCCATGCCTACGAAACTGGCCGTCATCCTCTGGAGGTCTGCAAAGCGCACAAGAGAAGTGACAGTGTTTGTTGGGGCGATGCCAAGTTCCTCTACATTTATTCATCAGATTATGAATAGGCGCTTTGGGAACTCACGCAGCGCGTGCCACTCATCCTGCCTTATTGTCTTCGTCAGATTGATTGGCAGATTTCTGGGCAGCGCAGATGATGAGTAGTAGTATTTTATCTGTGTGCAGCGCGGAACCAATCCTGTGGATGTAAACAACACAAAGAGGATGACACATAAGCTCTGAGATGAGAAGAGGAGGATCTCACAAGGCTCTCTTCTGCCACCCCCCCTCCCCAAAAAAAGCACCCAACCCCCTTCCACCTCCACCCACCCATCCACCCACACCATTGTGGAGTAGCTTATTGTACGTATCTCGAGGCTTCTGTTACTACAGTTTATGTGTAGTGCTGGCAAATAACACAGCACGTCGATTGCATTGTAACTGTACTCCATGTTATACTGCGTAGGCCTCGAGGGTCTGTGCGCAGCATCAGCACCTTGGACAACGCATTCGCGCACAAAGTATTCACTGACAGCGCCTCACACATAACAACCCAAATATCCAAAACAAACACATTATGGCACAAATTATGACCAACAAAACCAAACCTTTAAAGATCAAATCTTCTGTCTCCAAGTCAAATCCCTCTCGGTGGCACTTTCTCCACAGTCCGGTGATGGTGGAGTTGTACTGCCGACTACATAGGGACTCCATGGCCGGGGCAGGAGGCAAGAAGTGCCGCTTAGCCCGTAGCAGAATTTCGCCGCTGACACTTGAACCCCTCCTCTCCACATTTTTCTCCTTTGGCAACATGCGAAGTGGAAGGTTGTTGTTGGAGATGTAAATGTAGCCGGGGTCGTTTCTTTTGTTTGAATAATTCTTGCAGCGCTCCCGGTGCCTCCTGGCGTCCGTCTCGTACCAGTTGTCAGTACTGATCGCCACTGCTATCAGTCCCAAAGCGCAAAATGCCAAAAACAGACCTGCCGCGGTTAAAGTCCTCATAGCAGCCATGTTCCATGCGTATCTCGCCTCGGCGCCGTGATAATTCCACGGGACAGCGGGACTCCGCTCCTGGCTGCTGTTGTCAGTATTTGCGGAGTGGAGGAAATGCAGCAATACATGGAAATCTGAAATGCAGTTAAATTCCTAAAGCCCTCATTTCTTTGATTTGTCTAGCACAGCCGAAAAGAGCTAAATTCCCAGGTGGAGGGTAAATAAATGTGGGCCTTGATGAGCTATTTTGGTTGTCTCCTCTTTGCCTCTGAACTCAGTCTACCCTAGATACTGGTCAGTTCAACATTTCTTTCCAGTAGATGGAGACAGAGCAAATATTTGAAAGCACAACAAGCCTCAGGCCTGCTCTCACAGTAAAACATGATCTGTAGGAAGATATTTCCAAAGTTTGACAAAGTCATATAGATAAAGTGTCAACCCTCAGATTTTTATACCATCTCCTGTATCACCTTGTCTGCAGCTGTCTGGAGTGTTCAGTTATGAAACACTGAGACAGGCCATATTAAACCCCACAGAGGGCCTCATTTCTGTCTGGTACAGGAAATCATTTCATCATATCTAACAGATTGCCTCTGGTAACTTTCCATCTCAATAGGGCACAAACATCAGAATTACAGTGAAATATATTAAGCTTTAAAATACTGTTTGGTTCATTGTACAACTCTAGAGAAGATATCAAAATGTACATATTTGAAAGAAAACGCCAACATGTGGTTATTTAGCCATAAACAGCATCATATATGATTGGGCCTATTGGTTTTTAGCAAATATTGTCTAATGTCTAGCAGGACGTCTGGTCATGACAGATGTGTAAAGGGGTTGGATCTCAATTTCATGCTATATTTTTTGGGAAAAATAAAACACAAACAAGTCACAGGGACACAGTGGCTCCGGACATTTCAGTCATGTTTTCACTGGTTTCAATCTCATGGTCAGTACTTCCTCAATTTTAACCATAATGCCAAACTAAAAGAGGAACACACCCGAATCCAAACATCATTTCTGGTTTCGGCTCTTGTGTGCAGTAACTCTTAAAAAATTCCTACATGAACATATGTTACTGGGGATTTGTTGTGATTGCTAGTAAGACAGGTAAATCATAGTTTCCTGCGCAACAAGTGTAGGAGAGCCACACATTTCTACGTAATTATGAAGTGTTAGATTAAATAACAATGTCATTTTATTTAGGTTTTCTCTTGTGTTGGGAATGAGTGCAGGATAAGAGTTGATATTACTCTATCACTGCAGCACTTCAACTGGCGAGGGGGGAAGTTGAAGCAAACAAGGGCATGACAATGAATATGTGTGATAACAAATTTATATTCTAATAGTGTGACTTTGTGCACAATTATCGTTAGATGCCTCTAAATTGCACAAAGTGGTACAGTGATACAAAAACTTAGTTTTACTTGACCATAATTTTATTAATTATAGATATACTGCGATTGCTTATAATCTACTCTCAAAAAAGGGGAATCATTAGGAGTTATTGTACAATTAAACCTCATAAATATGCAGGAAATGCATGTAAATATAATCTGGCTTAAACTGTACATGACACTCAGCCATCAGGAACTAAATGACCATTTGAATTTGACAATTGGATGATACGTACGTAGAGTGTATAGGGTCTGGGCTTATTTCTCACTTTCAGTTCCCATTTGTATGGTGAAGTCAGAGCTCAGGGACGTTGCGTGTTTCTCTGTGAAGCAATAAGAAAAAGTTAATATTCATCATAAGCTTAAAGAACCAAGAGTCTCATGCTGCCTTGTTTACATGATGGATAGCTATGTCATATCGTCAGTAAGTGCCACTGCTTTATTGTTTCATGTCTTTGATCTTGTGACATTGGAGGATAGTTTGTTTTAGGGTTTGTTCTGTGTTTCTACGGTTGTTTCTCTAAAAGAAAAAAAGAAAAGGTTTTCTTGTAACCAAATTCTAGGGATCAAGGTGGAATTGCATTTGCTGATTAACATGTTTACCTGAGAAGAAGTAGAAGACTTACTTTTGGGGGTTTGTTTGTGTTATATAAGGACATGTGTATTTGTTTTCTCTGTGAAAAGTGGGAAAGTAACCCATAACAGTGTTAAATTGTTGTAAGAATGTTTGTGTTGCTCCTGGTGACCTGGTCTATTACTTCTAACACATTTAAAACAAAAAAAAGTAATTCTAGTGTAACAACTAATGATCTTATTTAACTTAATTGGCAGGACACAGAGACTCAAACTTTTACTTTCTCTATGACAAAATAATATTTTCCCCCTCCAAAGGCCTCAGAGGCAATCACACCGAATGAACCAGAAGATTATCGACCACCTGCAGAGCTATATCCCTACCTCACCAATGTGGGGGAGATGTATGAAGGTGAGAAGGCTGATTTTAAACACTGAAAGAGCATCAGTCACTACACGACTGAGTACTTAATACCTTCTGTCAATTATTCAGACCATAGATGGACCTTCCACTCTGAGCGTGTCCAGCCAACGGACTTTGAGAATTCTCCATTGAATCCCCTCACAGAGCTTCAGCCTGTGTCTCCGCAACAACTGATACAACCCTACCGCTACAGCAGCGAGTCTCTGCCCCTTCACCTGGACCCACCACTCGGACCTCTCTCTGTGTCACCACAAGTAGGTTTATGTCTAGAAATGAATGCTCTTCTGTTCATATTTGATTCATATGTGATTTGTACATATCATTGATATGATCAAGTGTGATTATATAAATGTACATACATTTTATATACATATTATGTACTCAACCAAAACCACAACATCCCAAAGCAGGAAAAATCTCCCTAAATATAATATGAGGTCGGTCTTTAATGTGATTGTATTATTGAACATGCAGTTGAGCATGAGTATGCATTTGCACTGATGAAAAGGCATTATGTCAATTATTATTACATTATGTGATCATAGAAGTCATATTACTCACTATATTTGCCATGAGTAAAGTCTGTAGAAGGTTTAGAATAGGAGCTAAAGAATAAAAAGGAGAAGAAAAACTTATTTTTGGCTATTTTTGGTATTTATTTCACCAATTGTGAAGAAATCACAATTTTCCAAAACCCAAGTTGACTCATTCAAACTGCTCAATTTATCCAACCAACTGTCTAAAAGTCAAACATATTCTCTATACTCTCATAGACAAAAAATAAAACAGCAATTCATAATTAAGAACCTGGAAACCTTTGTTTGTGTTTTTTCTTAAAAAATAACATCCCATTTAATCACCCAATCATTTCGGCTCTAATGTTAATACAGATGTGTGAATATACATGTGAATATACAATTGAATACTATAGGTAAAACAGATAGGGTTCTTGGGACTAAATCTATTGCTGCCACCATAATAACAACACAATATATTTTAAGATACATAAATATATTATAAGAAACCATTATATATTCACATAATTTAAAATTTGAAAAAGTTATCTCAACAAACAAAGCCGCCTGATGTGGACAGTTGGGGATATTTTCACTGAGTTGTCATCTACACCATGTGGTCTTGGCGAGCATTGAATTCTATTTTGGCAGAGTCACTTCCTCTTTTAGTACAATGACAGTGTTTAAACGAAAATGTCAGACAGTGAATGACTGCAAAACAAAACAAGGTGCAGCTCTATCACTTCTTTGTGTTAACTTGAATTATGACATGCTTTACATTTCTCCAAAAGATCCCATATTACACCCCAACTCTGTGCTACCAATACCAACCCTCTGCCTCGCCTGGCCATTACTACTCAGAAGGGGAACAAAGAGGAATCAGTCCCCCGCTCGAGGTATCAGATGGGGAGGATGAATTTGAAGACCACAACAACTCCTCCTTCAGGAAAGACACTAGTGAGTATTTTCAATGCAATTGTTCTACTGACATCAAATCCTTATGTACTAAAACTTGATAACTGCCAGACAAAATCGCGATATCAATTCTCATATTTTCCAATCCAGACAACAAGAAGAAAATCCGCTTGTACCAGTTCCTCCTGGACTTGCTAAGAAACGGTGACATGAGTGACAGTATCTGGTGGGTGGACCAGGACAAGGGCATCTTCCAGTTCTCCACAAAACACAAAGAAGTTCTGGCCAGCCACTGGGGTATTCAGAAAGGAAACCGCAAAAAAATGACCTACCAAAAAATGGCTCGAGCTCTGAGGAACTATGGTAAAACTGGAGAGATTATAAAAGTAAAGAAGAAGCTAACCTACCAGTTCAGTGAGTTAGTGCTGAGGAACCTCTACTTACGTCAGCATCCTCACTGATGAGGGAACAAAGGTTGTCTTTCATAATGCTGAAATCACTAAACTAGCAAAGATTGTGTTTTACCTGTTTGCAATTTCACTTAGTTTTTCCACCAAGTTTTCTTACCTATTTATTTGTGATGCCAGTGTACATCCTCTACGGCATGTGCTTCCATAAACTGCTTCATTTCATACTCAAATTATGTTTGTATGTTTATGTCTGTGCAAGGATTAAAGGCCGATTAAAGATCAGGGACTATAAAAAAGAATGATTTTACATTACCCTTTTGTCATGAATGTGTGTCAATGAATATTATGTTTAATTATTTTTGTCAAATTACTCAATTAAACTGAATTCACCATTAAACAACAGATCCTAACCCACAGTGCTTGGGTGCAAATATCAGAGTATTTCTATTTCTAATTCAATACATAGTCATAGACCACACCTGACGCAAACACTGACATGTAGTGTATAGGCCTAAACAACTACAGAGTAAACACTGGCTGAGTCTCCAGCAGGATGAAGAGCACGATGAAATTGCTGGGAAACACATCTACAGGAACCATGGTCTGAAAAAGACATAGTCCTTGCAAAAAGAAAGTAGTGATAGATAGATAGATAGATAGATAGATAGATAGATAGATAGATAGATAGATAGATAGATAGATAGATAGATAGATAGATAGATAGATAGATAGATAGATAGATAGATAGATAGATAGATAGATAGATAGATAGATAGATAGATGGATTTTTTGACTGATGTTTCCATCCTGGGTTTCCCCCTGGTAGCTCCAGCTAAAAATTGACACCAATGTGACGATGGTGTTTGCTGAAAAATCAGGGGTGTAACAATATCTTGGAGCCTAAAAGGCTATTATAGTGACAGTTACTTCCTAATGATTTAACACTGGGCTGTATTAACTTAACAATTTATTAAAATAAATTAGGCCTACCTCACTAAATAAAGGGCAAACACATGTTGATGTGATTTGATAGCTTATTTAGCTTTACTGGAATACTTGTACAACATGTCAACAGAAAGTTAATCATCATTTTTTTTTTCCTTTATTGACAACAACAAATGTACATATACAGCAGACATGTGCTCAGCATAAAAGTATACAGATGAATTAGTAAAACAACATAAAGCTATAGAGGAACAACATATGACCTAACAAAACATCAAATACAATTAGAATGCAAGCAACAAAAAAGATTATTGTTTCAATGTACTGTTTTGATAGATCTGTTACATTTTTCAGAGTCTATGAGTCTAAGGGTTTTTAAAAAAACCTCTTTAAATTCACATAGAAATCCAGTGAAGTTGGGGAGAGTCTTTGTAATTTTACACTCATGTATATAGAATTTGCCATGTAAAATCAATAAATTTACTATTGCTTTGACATTAGGACAGGCTGCAGCGTATCATTTGCTCTGCGGAGAGGGTGATTGGCTGCAATCTTCCTTCTCTTCAGGACCTGTACGCCTCCAGGACTCTGAGACGAGCAGGAAAGATTCCAGATGACTCCTCTCACCCCGGATACAAACTGTTTCAGACTCTTCCCTCTGGCAGGAGGCTGCCACAAAGCAGCTTCTTCCCATCAGCAGCTAGCCTAATCAACAAGGCCCGGATCCCTCACTGACCCCCTCTGTTCTGATCCTAATTACATTTAGTATGTTCGAAATATATTATGTTCGAAAGACACAGCCCTGTGTCTGCTGTGGAATCCCTCAGGTTTCTGGGATCCACTATATCCCAGGACCTGAAGTGCAAGCCCAACCCTGTCACCATCATCAAGATGGCCCAGCAGAGGATGTACTTCCTGCACCAGCTCAGGAAGCTCAACCTGCCTAAGGAGCTCCTGGTCCACTTTTACACAGCCATCATCCCCTGCACATCCATCACCGTCTGGTTTGGATCTGCCACCAAAAAGGACAGAAGCAGACTGCAACGGACTGTCAGGAATAGAGAAAAAATCATCGGTGCCAACCTGCCCTCCATTCAGGACCTGCCCGTTTCCTCACCCCGGACACAACCTGTTCCAGCTTCTCCCCTCTGGCAGGCGCTACTGAGCAGTATGCCAGAACCAACAACCTCAGGAACAGTTTCTTCCCACAAGCCATCACTCTGATGAACAGCTGACTTCTGACTCAAGGTGTCAGGAACAATTCCTGTGTTCATACTGTTCATATTGTTATATTGTATATACTGTATACCAAATCCACCTACCTCAAAGTACATAACACATGCACATTATACTTATTTATTCCAGCATCCTTTGCACTATGCTCCATCGCACTGTGTACATGTAGGCATGTATGTGTATCTGTACCTGTATATCTCATCCATCTCTGACATGTATATAATAATCCTGAGTCAAATTCCTCTTATGTGAACACATACCTGGCAATAAAGCTGATTCTGATTATGATATGCAAAGACATTTATACATTCAATATTAACATCGCTTTTACTTTGACACGTTATATAGTCGTTCATACGAGTCCAAAAAGTAAGTGAATATACACAGTGGAAAAGAAAAACAGATGCAAAAACACATTTGTGTAGTAACCTTTTAAGTCCCGCCCCTAGAACAGCTTCCTGTGATGTCACTTTAACCAGCCAATCAGAGCGCAGATGTTCTTTTGCTGAAAATTTCAAACGCCGTCGAGTCGACAAACGACAACGGACAGCCGGATAACAACCACAGCCACACCAATGTTAATCAGTTTTTTAAATTGAAAGGTCGTTTAGCGTTCAGGAAGAGTGTTTTCTACACATTTAAGCTGTCTTCGGTGGCAACATGAGAGTGAGGTTAGTAACCTAACATTTAAAATAAACATTTTAAATAATTGGAGCGTTAATTATTTACGGTAGAAGTGGTATATTCAATTAGCAATCGTACTTCCTGCTTAGCCTGTTGATTTTAGATAAAGCTAACTTAGCTTTACTGCGAGCAGACTCACACAGCTTGTGTCACGTTAGGACGGAGTAACCGTCTCTGGATGCTGCAATGAGTAATTTTGAATGGTAATTACATTTTCTATTAACCACATGCTACTCACGAACTGGTAACGGAATTATTTAACGTTAAAAATAAGTTAACTTAATGTACAGGACAACGTCGGGAAGCTAGCTAACGTTAGCTTGGTCAGTGGTGGGATTGCAGCATCTAACGTTAATGTTAGCTATCTGCTAAAACAGTGTCTGCTACCTGGGGTAACTTAACGTTAATACTGGGCCGGTCTGACTTGTGTTCCTGGGGTAACTTAACGTTAATACTGGGCCGGTCTGACTTGTGTTTAAAACCGGTGTATTTAAACCCCAGAACACTGACCCACTCAAACCATTGCTTTTCTTTCAGTGAAGTCCACGCAGCAGAGTCTGTTGCCTACCTCAACAGAGCACTGTTCAAGTTGCAGGATATTTGGGAAGAAATCGGGATTCCAGAGGAACAGCGACTACAGCGAACCAATGATGTTCACAAGCACATCAAAGTGAGTCCCACGTTATTATTTAATTGATTCAAAGTGTAGTTGTTGACCTTGCAGAGCTAACAAACTGACACATTTTTTGGTTCCCCTGCAGGGTTTGCTGGACCTAATGATTGCTGAAGAAGAGGAGCTCAAGAAGAGATTAGTGAAAAGCATACAGGCCTGTCTGAAGGAACTTAATCAATTGTGCAGTGAACTCCAGCTGCCCCCGTTTGAGGTAGAGTCTTGTTTAGAAATATGTGGTGCTTCCTCTCTGGGGAAAAAATGCTAACGTGTTTGGACTAACTTTCTGGATTTTTCTGAAGGAGGAGGAGGGCTGCACCATGTTGCAGATGGAGAAGAATTGCCGCACACGTCTAGAGGTGATGAAGGAACACAAGAAGCAGAGAATGCAAGAGCTCAAGGACCTCACTGGCAAAGACCGTGAGCTCTGCGATATTATGTGCACTACCCCATTTTGCATCGACCAGGACTCCATCCCGTCACTGCAGCAACTAGAGACATATCGTGCCTACCTGGATAATCTGACCAAAGAGAAGGTGTTACAGACTTTCTGATTTTCTTTATTACCTACTTGCTTTTTCTTATTAGGGTTGTAACCTGTGTTGTCTTTTCCAGGAACACCGTCATGATGAATTCATGAGCATCAAAAAGGAGATCATTGTATGCATGGATGATCTGGAGCAGAACCCAGAGACCAGTTTTGAGATGGATGTGATGTGTGAGGATGAGGAGGCATTTTGTCTGTCAAATGACAACATTGCTGCTCTTAAACTACTCCTTAGTCAGGTGATTTTGTGATACTTGCATCTAGATGTTTGTTAATCTGACACAATGATTAACAGTCCACAACACTGTATTATATTGTAATTGATTTATTATTATACATATATTTTTACTTTTATGCCTCCTTACAGTTAAAAGAACGCAAGGCTGAGAATGAGCTCCATTGTTCAGCTTTCCGCACTAAGATCCAGGAGCTGTGGGAAAGACTTCAGATTCCCCAAGAGGAGAGAGAAGCCCTCTCTGAGCATATGGTCATGTCAAAGAAGAGAAACATTGAGGCAGTAAGAAATTACATTGTGTTCATTTACATGAATACGTGATTTCAGACAATGCAGTACGGTGTTGTTTCATCAAATACCTCCAAATTTTGTGCATTCTGTCTGTCAGCTCCAGGCTGAGGTCCAGCGTCTACAGGTGCTGAAAATGCAGAGCATGAAAAGTGTCATTGAGGCCATCAGAGCTGAGATCGCACTTCTCTGGGAGAAGTGCTTCTACAGCCAAGAGCAGCAACAAAGTTTTGTTCCATATCATGATGGTGAATATCTGTTGTATATTGAAAAAACCCTTACACTGATTATATGCGGTTGATCATCATAGAGGGCGTGTGGGTCTCAGTGCTTGTTTTCTTTTCCCAGATGATTTCACTGAAGAGCTTCTCAACCTGCATGAAGCTGAAGAAAGGACCCTGAAGAAGTATTATGAGGACCATAAAGAACTCTTTGAGGGAGTCACAAAATGGCAGGAGAACTGGACCTTGTACTTGGAACTTGACGTAAGTACTATCCTCGTGAATTAAGTGGGGACGCATTTAAAACAAACTTCTTGTTGTGGTAACGTGTGGATGTATGAACTTTTCCATCTCAGAAAAAGGCCAATGACCCTTCAAGGTTCAACAACAGAGGTGGGAACCTCCTGAAGGAAGAGAAGCAGAGAACTGACCTGCAGAAAAGTTTGCCTAAGGTGAGGACATGTTTAAAAGTGATTATTGACATGTTCTGTCAGGAATGCTATTGAAGCAGCTTTCAGCTCATAATAAGCTGTTGGTGGGGATACAAAAAGAAAACGATGCCAAATATTGCGGTTTGTCATTTCCATGGACACTGAATAAAACAAGGCTGTACAGATGCTGTGAAAATTTAATTATTTAACCTTTTTCAACTTATTTACTGTTCTTCTACATAAAACAATATGGGATAACAATGATTTATTAAATTTGTTAAGGGGAAATACTAAGGATAGGTAGCACCAGTTAGTTTACTTCCTCTTTGGGCAGAGATATTTGACAGTGGAAAGTCATCAACTTCCTGTGTTTGAGTGTGCCATTATACATTGTCACAATGTACTATACATGTTAAAAGTTAGATTTTAAAACCATTTCTTTACATAATAAACATCTAGCTATTTGGATGTCGAATATGGAAAATGTGTAATGTAAATGAGGGGGAAAAACCTCAAGAAAACCATGAGAAGAGTGGAAACGGGGAAAACAGCTGAGAGGTAGTTTGTTTATAGCCAGTTTTGTCCAACAGATCCAGGTGCAGTCTATTGCTATGTACCAGTTATTGACATAGGAAGGGCATTTTAGAAACTGGACTTTTCATTTAATATGCACTGACAATCCACCCTCAACATTAATTTTAACATCATGGCAACAAGGTAAAAACGAGTGTTTCCTGTTTGTTCCAGCTGGAAAAGATTCTGAAGGCCCAAATTGATGTTTGGGAGGAGCAGCATGGCAAGGAATTCCTGGTCAATGGACAGAAATTCCTTGAGTATGTGCAACAGCAGTGGGATCACCACCACACTGAAAAGGAGAGAGAGAAACTGGAAAGGGTATGTTGTTTAATGATTTTAGTCTTAAATTTCTCTCTGAACATGTTGTCAATATGACTAAATCATTGTGTGTGTTTTGAAATAGCAACTGAAGAAAACTAAACAGACACAGGAGGACATGTTATATGGAACTGCAATGAGAACACCATCTAAAAGGCGGCTAGCAGGGACTCCCACACCTGGAAAAGTTAGAAAGGTAAGATGTTGCTGCGGTGTTATTAGATTGTTGTTGCATGTGCAGCAATACTGACTGCCTGGGTGAGTGAAGTTGACCCGCCTCTTTCCTCTGTCCACTTAGCTCAATGGCACCTCCACCATCTCCACTCCTACCAGTTTCCTTAGTTCAGGCCTCAGTGGAACCATGTGCCAGTCCTCCATTCAGAAACCACCCCTGTCGGCCAGCAAGGTACGCTCACTGTCTTCCTTCTGAGTCCACTATTTATGGTAATAAGGTTAGACAAGGTGTAATGTCTCCATTTTTGTTTAACTTGCTTTGTCAGGGCACTTAAAGACTCCTGAATGAATTACTTGTCAACAATTGAGTACAAAATCTGTCCAAATATGGTGCAGACCTTGTGATCGATCAATGTAGAGAAGATAAACAATATACTCAATGGAGCGCAAATATCTCTATCAAAAGAAGATAGATAAATATACAGTATATTGTGTTCCAAGACGCTTCTTGTATGTAAATTTCGCACAGTCAAGCACACGTAAAGCTTGACTGTTAATGAAAGCCCCTGTAACACTATTCAGTCATCAAGGTGACAGTATAGTCAGTTTCAGTGTATCTGCATGTCATGCAGTGGTAAGAAACGGCATAAATGAAGCATTGGAAAATTCTACCAAAAGCTGCTCTTGTAATACTTTGCAGTGATGCTGTATGCCTGTATTTTACTCACTAGCTTGGCAGGAGTGTACTGAGAATGAGTGGTGCTAGTTTTTCATAGTGTGTGTGGTATTTTTTGTTTGTTTGTTTTTTGTTTTTTTTTCTACTACCATTATAATCTTATAGACTGTAATGAAGTCAAATAAAAAAGCTGGCAAAAAACACAATATCATTCTAGTTGGTCTTGTTGTAGGGTCTTGGCCTGCGAACCCCTGGACATGGAAAGACTCCCCGTGCAGTAGACCGAAACAAGGAAAACATCTCCCATCTTAATAGAAATACTCCAAGTGGCACGCTAAGGTCTCAGGATACTCAAGATCACACCTTCACCTTTAGCTCAATTGCTGGCTCCTATTCGGAATTTGCGGTAAATGCGGTTTTACATGTTTAGCCCCTGACTATAAAAAGTCCACTTAAGTACAATCTACTAAAGGAAAGAACTATATTTTCCTGGATTACATCACGTACCACTAAAAGCAGTATTCTGTTAAAGGTAGGATGATGTAGTTGACCCAGTAAAATCTATGGCTTGCCATTTAACCACCATCACTGTCGAACTAAAACCGTATTTGGGTTAACACCTGTTTGACCTGGACTTGTAAATCCTAGAAATGTTTTTTTTTTTTTTTTAATCTGAAGGAATACTTTTTACTTTTGAACATTTCATCTTTGTTGCTGCAGACACTGTATATTCTTGTACTCAGCAGACAAAACTCCCACAAAATTAAAAAGCCATAATTTTGGTGTTGTGTTGGCTGTAGTTTAGGTAAACATCAAACCGCAATGTGCATACCTCTGCCAAGACTGCATAATTAACAGAATGAATTTTAATAATTAAAATATTTTTTAATTCAGTGAATGGAATGAAATGAACATCAAACTTTACATAGTGATAGACTATACATACACAAAATGAATACACATACCAGATTCTCTTTTATTGAAGTAATTGCAGTAGCTAATGAGAAAATGGTGAATCTGCCTGTATATCTTTTAAAAAACCCTGAAATACCAAAGACTCAATATATATCATTTCACCACTTTACATGACAGATTTTCCAAAATGAACATGCACTAGCATTTCATATTACCATGTCACATTCTAACACTGTGTGATCCCACAAACATAAACTTGTATATTCAATCATTTGACTTTGTTATTAAAATGTGAAAGATGCTGACGGTGAACTTGGACTTTTCTTTACAGAGGGACCTCTCAAAGGCTTCTAAATCGACTGTGAAGTCAGGAATGCTGAACTCCACCGTCAGTCAACAGTGATGAGTTAAAGCAGCTGTGCTGGAAGTCTTCCAGCTCAGCGGTAGTTTGATGTTTTTGTGGACAACAGGGAACTTTATTGTAATCTCCTTACAAAAAATGTAAATATTTAAATCTGTCCGAACATTTTGAGTCTCCATCGATCCTGTTTTCATAAGACTTTCTTTCAGGGTTACTGCTGGAGAAATTTTCTCTGCTGTATTTTCTGGTATTTCATATTGTAGCAAGGCTGTTGTGGCTTTTTATTGACATTTTCCTTTTGGGTGTATAGCCTTTAAATTTAAGCATTAACCATATCTAGAGCACTACATTGTTTTAGTACTGTAGCAGTAAGCCAGTGCACCATGCTTTTCTTCCTCCAGCTGGAATGACAGCTGAATTTGCTCTTCAGAAACTAAATATTGAGTGCTTTTTTTTTTAAATCCAGCTGTAAATAAACGTTTTAAAAAAACGTTCATCCTTATTAAGTCTACCTATTTGTTATCTTGTGTAATTTTGAATTATACCTGAATGTTTTCTTTCAGCCCTTTTTATGGTTTAGTTACAAAGCTTTTGTCCAAGTTAGAAGGCAGTATCTGTTAAGTATTCCATATTGACCACATACTGTATCTTGAGTACATTTCACGTATTGTAGTTGTAAAAATAATCCCTTCTCCATGTAGACTAGAAATTAGAGGCTGCTCTGTTTAAGCCATGTGTGCCATGAGTTCTTCCAGAGCCCTCTCGCGGTGATTTTCATGAACAAGCAGTACTTCTTTGATTGCACTTTGCTTGAAGCCCATCTCATTAAACTGAGTCAGGAGACGCAGGAACTCAGCAGCCTGAAATTGAATTTAAAGTAAGTAATAATACACATTTAGGTTTATGATAACACATGGCTGTGGTAAACTGTGATGAGCGAGAATCACCTTGCTCTCACAGTTCTGAAACATCTCCAAGGCCTCCTCCACCTGTGCTTCATCATAACCCAGCTCACACAGACGGTCACTGGCCACCAGGTATTTCAGGATCTGAAGAAATGATAAAAAAATAATTAGAAATGTATTCATGCCAGTTAAGTGTGTGTATATATAAAGGGTTTTAATTATTTATGCATGAACACTGGTGCTAGACAGGTCCCTAATAAGCTGTTGTAATTGCATTAATATGACTTGCCTACTTGTGAGCCCACATAAATGGAAGAATCATTTTGCTGGTATATTTACTTATCTTTTTAGCCTGTGATCAGGAAGGAGTTCTCCCACTATTTGACCTGAACCACTGATTAATTACAAACATTTTGAATTGAAGGTTTAATAGCTTTTTAATAATGTGTTTGAAATTTACAATTGGTTATCAAGCCTGTAGTTAATGAAGGCAACTCAAAAGTATTTTATTTAAGCATTATCAGGGTTTATAAACCAATAAAGATTATAACTTCTACCAAACCAAAGTGGTACCTACCTTTTCTGGGCTGTGATAGCCTGTCTTCTGCAGAGCCAGAATAGCTGTGCGTAAAGGGTAGCCCCTCTCTGTGATGGTTTCAAGTAGCTCCCTCTCCTCCTGGCTGAGTGCCGACAACAACTCTGCTGCTGAATCAAAGAAAACCCCAGGAGAGCCACTAGTCCTCAGGGTCTGATGACAGGGGAAGAACAGACAAAAATAGTGTGTTATGATAAAAAAAGTAAGTGGATAAGAGTGGGATAAAAATTGTTATCAAAGACAGAAAAGAAATAACCTTCTGCCTGCGGTTTTTAACGACAGGCCCTGCAGAGGAGGGTCGCTGCGTCTGCAACCTGCATGGAGAGGGGCGAGCAGGTGGTGTGTTTTGGGAGTACTTTCTGCCCACGGAGCCCAGTGACCGCTGCCTCTTTTTGCTGTTCTTCTGCCCTTGAGGTACGGGGCTGGCCTGCTGTGACCTGTGCTGCTCCAGTGCTTGCAGTGGTTGTCTGCAGTCTTTCAGAGAAGAGCCTCTGTGGGCTCTGAGGCTCAGAGGTGAGTCAGGCTTACAGGGGTGAGTGGAAGGACCAAGGTGCATGTCTTTGACTCTGGCGAGTGGGTCTCTGGGTGCAGCGCTCCGGGGCCGCTCTCTGCTCTTGATAGGGTGACATGCGTCTTCAGTGGAAGAGCCTTCATTATCCTCGTTGTAACCATCTTCATCCTCAGAGTCAGATATGAGGAACTTGACAGTGCGATGGTGCGGCCAGCGAATGTCTGCAGAGTTCAGGCTGTAACTGCGGGGTCGAGGGCTCGGGGTCCACGTGTCGCTGCTCCTGCGATTTGTCCTGCGACTCTCCTGAGGGCTGCTGAACATCAGCCAGTAGGGGGGGCAGGATGGGCTTGATGGACGGGCTGCTGCCCAGTTAAAATCCATTTCTCCAGGTTGAATCCATACTACATTAAAAATTAAAAAATTCAGCAACAAACCTTTTACACGGCAGAGACTTTGACTTGCCATTGCAGGGAAAGCACAGGTGTTACTGATAACATTAACAATGGCTCCGTTATATTCAAGTACCCCAGTGAGCCAGCATGCACAATAGCAGGACCCTGGAACTGAAACAGTTAAATGGAATTCAGCCATTATTAATTGTATTAATTCTATTATTTGCAGCTGTTCTTTTCCTACTGTTACATTCCAACATGTCTCACATCAAAAACGCATAGGAGGATGTATCAACAATGAAATGCAAGTTTATCACAAAAGGAAAAGAAAAAGTAGTGACCTGACACACACACACACACACACACACACAAAGATCTATGTAACCTCTTCAGTGCAGCCCCCAAATACTTTCATTCCAATCAGAATAAAATATTTAAATAAAACCCCTAAACATGCATCTTGATTATCTTCACTGCAACGTCAAAATAACCAACTTGGTGATGAAATTTGCGTTGTTTTTAAGTATATATATTTTATAATGAAAGTGGACCTATTGGACTCACGTACTACAATTTCCCAACAATTTAACTGATTCTAGGAGAAGAATCAGGTATTGAACAGAAATTGCTTGAGAACCTGTAACATCTAAAAGCCACTGATTAAAAAACAGACCGCTGCGAGTGAATTGATCCCAGAAAGACATTCAACTTGAAAAAAAAGTGAATGTTCACTTGTATGTGTGACCTCAGTGTCTTGTAGTATCCGGTGGCAGTTTGGTATAGTGATGTCTGGAGCTGTCACGGGCTGCACTTCCTCCTCCAGTGGTCCCAGTAGGGTCTGAAATGGGACATCCTCCAGAGTGTTCATGTTGACCAAATCGCACCAGCAAATAACCTGCATCAGAACAATCACAGAGTTTTGACAATAGAGAGTTTTAAGTTATAGAATCAGACCTTCATTGCAATTGCATGAACACTTACTTTTGTCAGGTATTCTCTCTTACGCCCACAGCTCTCTGAGGTATTGACAGGTGTTTGGAGTAAATGACGCACAGACATCATCGTATGTGATAAACCTCTTCATCACTAAGCCTCTGACATCACCTGAGGAGTTGTTTACCAATAATACCCCAGTCACCTGTTGAAAACCTTCCTGCAGAGGGATAGTACTAATTCATTTGAATATTACAGTACTTAAATATGAATTTGCATATATACCGGAGTAATACTAAGTATTAAAAAATGCACTAACAACTGATACTTCTATATTTTTTATTTCTATTAATACAATACTATTATTACATTTATAATATACAATGTATTATCATTTCCCCTCAATCTTTTAGTTGACTGCAGCTTTTCCATCAAGTCACATTTCAGACAGTGTGACTTTCAATGTGGACTTTTGGAACTGGAAGGGGGATTAGGGAAATGCTGAGGTATTTGGAAACAAAGAACAGCATAATACTTTCCAGTGATTAGCAGATTACATAAAGGTGACAGTACAGTGTGGAACAACACCGTGATGTCTATTGCATTCATTTTCTGTTTCACTGATTTGTTATGCATTGAGATAGTCTCAGAAACACTGAGTAACACTGACTTGGGAATCAATTGAAGTGTATGTTCTGGCCTGCAGACAAGTTTAAAAGTAAAGAACAATTACAATTCTGTACAGAGATATACATTTTATTTATATATTTTAAACAATCACAATTAATTTAAAATTCACAAACGGGGGGGGGGGTTACAGTTTCTGTAACAGACCTCTGAAAACAGAGAAAAGCAGTTTTGAAACTTAACTGAAAGAAAAGGAAACTTAAAGCAAAAGGAGAACAGATCTAGTTTAATCTCATTTTATAGCACAAACAGCATTTTAAAGAGTACAGCAGCGTGGTTCAGTCAAAGAGCATTTAGGTGGAGGCTTGATTACAGACAGGTGTATTAAAGAACCATTTAGTAACTGGATATTAAATCACTAAAATGTGAGGAGAGTTTCCAACAATGGGGCACACACAAAGAAAGTACCTGTGTTGTCCTGATGGATGTCTGACAAAGCAGGTTTAGAACGGCATCCAGCCAACAGAGAGAGATTATCTGGTAATGATTTAAATCTGGACAATGAAGCTTGAATTTGATTAAGGATATGATAAGATTTCATGTATATATTGGACGACAGCTACTCCAAAACAAAACATCAGATTATTTTATTAACACTTCAAAGCTACCTGGCTATCCTTCTAATCCTGCTTCACGAGACAGTCCTGTGATACAGAGGTCTGTAAATAAACACATATACATTCCCTAAAGAGTGGGCTAAAAGAGGAAGCAAAACACTGAAAAATAACCATTCTGGCTGTTTAAAAAGGTCACCATTATTTGTCACCTGCTCTGTTAAGTGTGCTGGTGCGTTACACGCCAAAATGTGTTTCCTAATTAGAGGTCATGTCATTCAGACTGCTTACAAATGCTACCTAAGCAGTGTAGCTCAACATTTACAGCCCATTGTTACTATGAACACCATTATTACAATGGTGGTAAAAACATCAAAATACTGATGTTCTCATGGAATATTATGCCCTTATGATATAAGGCTTGACATGGTAACATCACTTTCTCAGCACCCCACATGTACAGTATGATCCCATCATTTTTATTTGCTTCCCTTGCCATGACAGCCCATCACCACAAAAAGAAAACAAATTAACTAGCTACAAATCCTTTCATGAATAAAATTGCATTATTGCATTATCTTTATATAGATAAAATGTGAACAACCCCCAGAGATTGAAATATTTTATATGTCCACCCTGCAAATGCACCACTAGAGTTAACATCTGATGCATGGGACTGAAGGTTGTCTCTTAACTTGTTCATCATGAAAGCACTCAGTGAGAACCAGCAGACTTCAATTCCTCTAATACAACGTGCAGAGCTTGTTTGCCAGGGGCTATAATAGAACCCAGAGTTGGTATCCAAAGGTTCATAGTAATCTAATGATTTTAGAGACTGTCTTTAGGTGAAATGAGTGACATGAGGTTCAGTTTTTAGCAGCGTCTGCCTGCCGAGGCCAGTTCTCCTCCTCGATGCCCGAGTCGTATTCCTCCTCTGCTGACTCCTTGGTTGGCGCTCTGAAATTCAAATGGAAACTCCAGTTCAGGTTTCAGACCACACAACACTGGAGACTCTGCATGCTGGGCTTAAGGAATCGGATCTCTAAAATGACACATACATGTAACACTGTCCTGTGAGCAGAGAGATACTGACCGGATATATCTGGGTTGCGATTTTCCTTGGACAACATCTTTGTCCAGCTCAACAGCCATGATGTCAGAGTGCGGCACCTCAAACATGGGCTCTAGAAGGAGCTTTTCCTATTAAAAAAAAAAGAAACAATTTTCAGAATCAGAATCCTTTATTGATCCCTGAGTCGAAATTCTTTAAAAGGGAGGGAGAAGGGGCATTATGTTCTCTCCATTTAACCTATCCTAATCAGGAGCAGTGGGCTGCCATCATGTAGCGCCCAGGAGCAGTTAGGGGTTCAGGACCTTGCTCAGGGGCTACTTCAGCAATGGATCGGACTCGATCCGGCGACCCACCAGTTCCTAAAGCAGTCCCAACAGACTGAGCCAATGCAGCCGTTATATCAATGTTACAAAAAGTGTAAGTTTAAGACCGTTATTTATATTATATATATATATATATCTCACATACCATAATGTGTCTGTTTGGGTGTAACACTTGCAGAACCAGGCACATACCATAATGGATCTGAGCCCACGAGCACCAGTTTTTCTCTCCAAAGCCATCCTGGCTATGGCCCTCAAAGCATCTTGATTCACATTGAGTTCACACTGAAACAAAAAACATTTCAGATGAATTTCAATTGTAGATATTCAGTCGTACAGGTATTAACAAATAGACACGGAAATACATGTTTCACAAGCAAGTTATTTTCCTGTAGATCTGATACAAGAACAAGGGTGGTGGAAGGTTTGGTGGGGGCGTGTTGTTTCAGGTACCAGTGACAGTTTAAATAGTAGATCTATGAGTTTGAAGGCTTTTTAGAAGACAAACACTGCACTGTGGTTTATAATACTGTAATACAAGATTTGACAACTCTAGAAAGTTATCCCGGGGCAACCATTTTATATTTTGTCATAACAATTTCAAGGTAAACAGAAATACAAAGTTCACATTACAAAGTAATCTACCAGGATGAGCAGGTGACTGACTGACACTGCATTGCGTTGTGGCAACAGCTGAGCTAGGTTTGACTTTTGTCAGAGGCATGTGGTTGGAACTCTACTGAGCAAACCCAGTGGTCAAATTCAAATGAATGCGGGGGGAGGCTATGCGTTGTTGTTTTTTTAAAACACAGTGCTGTTGCCACTTTGAACTCTGCTTAACTTTGTACCGTAGTAGCTGCTATAACATAGCCCTTACTTTATCCATGCTGAACAGAGCCTGGTACTGGGGAACCACAGCGTTGCGGGGTTCAGTCAATATACGGACTAACGTTTCTTCATCCAGGCTGTGCAGAGGAACGACCACAGGAAGACGGCCAACAAACTCTGGGATCATTCCAAACTCGATCAGGTCCCTGGCCTCGACATGCTTCAGCAGCCTGTCCTTCTCCTCTATCTCTGCCACAGTGTCTGTCTCACCGCTGGTGTTGGCCAAGTCTGCGGCAGCCGCTGCCCGCCGCCCCTTTCCCAGGTTGGAGGGAGTTCCAAAACCCAAATACTGAAGAGCCGTGAAACATAAGGATTAAGTTAGAGGCAGGAACGATTATCAGGCTGATTGTCTGCAGACAGTTGGTACACATGTGCTGCGTTAAATTTACCTTTTCATTCTTTCTTCTGCTAATGATTCTGTCGAGTCCGTTGAAGGCACCGGATGCAACAAACAGGATGTTTGTTGTGTCTACCTGCACCGTTTCTCCTCTCAGTTTCCTGGAGTTTTTCTCAGGAACATTGACGACTGTGCCCTCCAGGAGTTTTAGCAACCCCTGACAGAGAGGAGAAGGGGAGAAAAAGTCAATAACTGAAGTCTAGGTCAAGCAATATATGGAAAGGGAAGGACTCACAATGGGGGGGGGGGGGGGGGGGGGGGGGGCACACACACACCCACCAGGAAACCAGTTTCAGTAAATAAGTAAAATATGCCCTTTTAAAAAAAAATTTTTTTAAATCTTTAAAAAAAAATCCAAACTCCGATAGAAAATGTAATGCTGGTGCTTTCATTATAAGATGAATGTTTGTAAATAATTTGCATTAAAGTTTAATTACCTGCTGGACTCCCTCTCCTCCTACATCTCTCAGCTGATGGATTCCAGGCACACTGCCAATCTTATCAACCTCATCCAGAAATACAATACCTGCACATGAAACACAAGGACAGGCAATTACGACACAGTCCCTGTGTATGCAACATCTGTAGAAACATTAACTTAGGATTTTAGCTTTCGCTTTACTATATACTGCACATCCTTCACTTTGAGTACACTCTGTGGTTGCAAGGCAGTGGTAATCACCCTTGTAAAAACTACACTGATGTTTATTTTTGTTAATCCCAGTTTGATCCCATGTTTTTTTAACCTCTTCCTGCTAGCATGTGTAATCAGATGAAGCCAATAACACATTCATTTCCCATGTGAGGAATAGAAAATGGAAATGACATAACTTTGCAAATTTAAACAAGTTGTGGTGCATAAAAGTAACAAAAAACAAACAATTTTATCTCTTCAAGTGTAAAGTATCAGAGTGGGTTTCCACATTTCTATGCCCCTGTTTTTAAGTACACTGAGAGCAACTTAAAACCAGGGTCACGTCCCTTGTATGTGAAGACATAGTTGTAAATCTCCAGTCAGCTGCTTGCTGCTGTCAGGTATTAAGGATAGAGATCCTGTCACCCTGTCATGACATTCATATTAGCTTGAATGAGTGAGGATTTCTGCCTTCCATTTACAAGTGCCTTGTTTGTGTTATCAGTCAGCCATATATTTAATATTTCCTACAAAACCAACTGTACACTAATTTAAATTTAATTAGGGATGC